GCAACCTGGAACTAAGGAGAAACTTCCTAACAGTGAGGACAATGAACCAGAGGAACAGAAGTTGCCTTCAGAAGCTATGGGTGCTCCATCACTGGAGGTTTTTAAGAAGAGACTTGGCAGCCACCTGTCTGAAATGGTATAGGGTCTTCTGCTTGAGCAGGGGGCTGGACTAGAAGACCTCCAAAGTCCCTTCCAACTCTTTTATTTTATTATTCATTTATTCTGTTTTGATGTTGGTGCTAGGAAACAGTGAGGACTCAAGCAGAATTAACACCTATATTAGGCATGTCAAACTCGTGACATCACATGACATCGCACAATGTATCGGGCCAGTTTTGCCATTGCTGGCAATGGGGTGGGAGCAGCTTCCAAGTGACACGTCCGGCCCACGGGCCAGCAGTTTGACACCCTTGTCTTAGGACAGGGGTAGGCAACCTTGGCTTTTTTATGACTCGTGGACTTCAACTCCCAGAATTCCTGAGCCAGCTGTGCTGGTTCAGGAATTTTCGGAGTTGAAGTCCACGAGTCATAAAAGATCCAAGGTTGCCTACCCCTGTCTTAGGGTTTCTATTAATTTAATTTCTTTCTTTCTTTCTTTCTTTCTTTCTTTCTTTCTTTCTTTCTTTTTCTTTCTCTTACTCTTTCTTTCTTTCTTTCTTTGTCCCAAGTCTTGCTGAAGTTGCTGGTTTTAAATGTCTGTCGTTACAGTTTTTAATCTTTATCTGCTTACATCATCAATCATTCAGGAAGGCGAAGGGGATTTGTGAAATGAACGTGGAGACGAATTTACTGTAGAGGTCGCCACAGAAAGGAGAAACGAGGATTATTGCCCTAAAACAAACAGGACTTGTGTGAAAGCAGGATCAGGGATGAGAACATGGAATCCCAGTGCCACCATCTTCACAGATGGGAACGTATCCATGATTTCTGGGAGTTTGCAAATCAGCACAACTCTCAAGCACTGCAAACCACCACTGCAGTAACTTAATAACCCCCTACATGGATTCACACATCATTAATTAAGATGCATCTGACTACTAGGAGTGGAGGGACCCTGGTCTTTGCAGGCCTAGTGAGCGGAGTCTGAATGCGAGTGATCCCTCTTCTGTCTCATTGTCATTGATCGTGTATGATTAATGATTTCCAGGAATAAAAAGTGAAAGGTCAGTTTCGTAGTTCAAGATAGAGCAGCTACATTGGGAGTAATTAAGAGACTTGTGTAAGCATGATGAATAAGCACAAATAGGGACCGTGTGCCATAAACAAGATAACACCAGAAGGTTTAGGACAAAAGGGATATTTCTTTAGAAAGTAGACTGGGAAGGAAAGCAATATTTATTTTTCCTCTCCTCCTCCTACAGTTGGCTCACCCTCAGTTTCTGAAAAGCTTATTATCCACACAGCTTACGAAGGAAGGAGCCTCCTTAAACATTCTCCCAATTCCAGCCTGCCCGCCTCCTTTAAAAATAAAGATAAATTTAAAAAATTAAACACAGATAATTTAAAGAGTTTTCATGTAAATGGATTCAACTCATCTTTGTTTAACATTGCCTTTTATGTCAAGTTCCATGAATTTCTAAGCCTGACGAGGTTCACTGGGAATCTTTTTAATTCCCACCCACAAGGTCTCGCTGGCTGCCGTCTGACTGGCACTATAGAGGGATCAGCCATAGAATTTGCCGAGAAAGCTGGCAGACAGGTGTCAGAATGGGCCAGCGGGCCAGCCTAACACACGCTAATCAGCTCTGGTGTTCTTTTACAATCCATATCTAATTCGCAAGTTTCATTCTTTCTGAAAAACAATTACTAGGTTTTGAAGTTCATTGTGCATTTACTCAACTGTCTCTTTGCATTAATGTAAAGGGGAAACAAGGGGGGGGGGAAACCCCAGAGTCAGTAGGGAAAGGACATCAAACAAACTTAGGAGCGATGAAGGCTTTATTTTTTTAAAAAAAAAAAGCTAATATAATTACAGAGGCACGTAATGTTTTATAATACCGGGGAAAAATGTAAAAATACCTCTTTCCACCTCCAAAAAGGTAGGGGAGCCTTTTTGTATTTGTGAAACTGAAGGGCAAACATAAACAACTTACAGAAAAGTAACCAATGAAATCCCTTGTTGATGGCATCAAAGAAAAAGATTATAAGGGTTTTTTTTAAAAAAAAAACTATCACCAAGGGAAAGCATTCCAACTGCCTTTGAAGAAATAGGCACATAGTTCCCCCTTAAAGGACAACTATTTACAATGTCGTACTTAAAAGATGTATACATGGTTATTGCATATTTCTGCTTCATTTTCATGTTTTTCTAAGCAAATCATATGTTTTTTGAAATTCTAGGTTTACCCTTTGACTTTGGAAATGTATAATTTGATAAACCTTCAAGCAATCTTTACTGAACATAGACGCAGTGCTCCGTACAAGGAATTTTGCTTTGTTTTGTAATATTCAAGTGTCTCGATTATAGATTCATTTCCAAATCAAATACAGATTTCTTTTGGTTATGTTATTTTCATACCATGACAAAGAGTGATAAAATAGCCCTCTGCCAGCAATAATTTTGTTCTGCTACACAATGCTTCCTTCAAACAACATCATCTCCCTAGAAGAACAGAATTAAATAGACAGCATGTCAAACACCACAAATTTGTCTAGATCGCCATGAATAGAGTAGAAGCCAAGAAACCTTAAGAAAAACTTTCCAATTGATTTATTCACTGCTAGTCTATTACAGGTATTTATACTTAAATATGATAGCATTTTATGATATTTAAATGTTTAAATTTAAATCCAACTTTAGTAAGAACTTTATTTCAATGCTGGTCTGTGGCCGTATAGAAATTACTACAACTTTGCTACGTTTTGCTATATTCATAGAATTTTAGGGAGAGACAAAAACTTGAATCCAAGAAACAGAAGAAAATTCAAAGACAGATATTGGGGTGTGATTATAAATGAGCCTGTAATACTAAATGAAATGCCCTTTAATTGTCTTATTTATTTCCTCTTGAGCAGATTGCCTTCTCATGATCAAGATGAAAGAATGGGGAAAAAATGTGGTTTCTCTCTTCCCTAGACTATTTTTCTAAGCCCAGCACAAGGCCAGAAGCATCCTCTAGTTCTGGCTAATTGTCAGTGACTTGAGACATCAGGACAATGCTGTTCCACACATCAACAAATGTGACAACTGACAGCTAGACTATAAGCAATGACAGCCACCAAACAGTTGTAGGTTAACCTGATTGCGGATCTGCACGTCTTCTTCTAAAAGATCTAATAGCATCACAAACATTCTTAAGGTCCCCTAAAATATGTAAATTGAATTCATAAGGTGAACCAACCAGGCATCATAATACTAAAATGAATTCTTAAAAATGAGGACGAGATTTTAGAAGGCATTTTAGCACTTCGGTCCATACGAAAACATACCATCATGGTCAGTTATAATGGAGTATGTTCATTATTCTCAGTTTACTCCTTCCATATTTTGAGAATATATCGTGTGATCCAAATCCCTTTCTCCACATTGCTTGCATTTTTTTAAAAAAAAATGGAATATGCATATGTCCATCAAGGTTATTAACCCTTCCTCCTCCCTCTAAAGAACAAATATCTCCTGAAAAACACTTGAAGTGCCTCTTGAAAAATACATCAAGACTCCTAATGAATCTTGGAAGTAAAATTACAGCCTATTTGCTTTTCATATTGATTCAGCCAGGCTTCAGATTGTCACAATGCTTTTAATTTTAACCAAAAATACACAAAGTTAGAGCTGCTTGTTTTGACAATGATAGAAAGATTTCAGTTACGTGTTAGCTGTGGAAGATCTTAAGATCTTTCACAGTGAAAACCTGTTCGGGCAAGTTCTTAATATTTTCATGTTTACAGAAGAAGAATTTAGGCAGTCAAGTTTTCACATGACTGACAAGGCCTGACTGCATGAAGATTACATTAATATTAATTTGCTGAGCATTATAATTGACTTATTGGGTTGGGTAGGTGAATACACTTAGTTTTGACTTTGCGATGCAACATGTCAACCAGGTTAGAAATACAGATATTCTGAAAGGCTTCTCTCCCAAGAGAAGGATTATTGCCTTTACATAGTAAAATGTAGGGATGGGATTATCAGTCAACAAAAAAAGCAATTTTGTTGTGGGATATGAGCAGTTCTGCCTTTCAACTAAAAGGGAAAGCATATTGCCTCTGTTCTGATTTCTTGGGAACAATCCAGATTATAGGTTTTTAAAAAGTCTTGCAACAATAAAGAGAGATCAAGATCAGTTCAAGATTTTTTAACTTAGATCAAAGCTTGATAATTTGCAACCATTGCCTCATTTAATCACCGGCTGCATTAAAACCCTGCCAGATGCTATCAATATTCTGATAAATTTCCTGGTTGGAATCACTTACAGAACATTCTCTGAAAATTTATCATGGTTGTTATGGGTCTCATTCCAATCCTGCACTGCACAAAATAATTTAAAACTACTTTCCCCCTTTCGTTATTACTCAGCACTTAGGTCTTTAAGAGCGGGACATTATTCTCTAAAGTGAATTTAATATGGCGGAGGGCGATGTTTGCTTTTTCAGCTGAGAACTGCACTGCAACATCTGGATAGGACTAGAGATTTTAGTCCGGGAAAATTGGATGCGATCGTCCCACATTATGAATCCTTCAAACCTCTCTAAAAGAATAATGGCAATCCCTTCAAAGAGATCCCTCCCAATGTGCAAAACGTGTGCAAAATATACAAACATACAAAATACTGTTCTTCGTCTCATTAAAGCATCTGCATCTTTTTTCCTCAGCAGAGCAAAATAGCCCTGCAGGCATGTTGGAAGAAACAAGGCCAGATGCAACACCCAGACCTGTTATAACACAGAAATTGTCAATCAAACTCCAGTGGAGATGCTTCTCGCTCTTTTGGGGTGTCCAGGCAACCCAGGAAAAAAAAGATATCAGATTTGAGTCAGGGGAGAGGAATTGATCTTCCTACCTTGCGGTGCAGAGTTGGCACCTTCTAATATTTGTAATAAACATTTCTTTTAAAAGAGGCATGTTGTCAAATGTCTGCCACATAGCTTTCTCGTCTGAGTATCCATCTGGGTAAAGCATGACAGCCAGAAGCAGGTTCATGTGAGTGATCATCGGGAGTCTGGAAAAAGATGCGGTTACTTTAACAACTTGAAAAGAGAGGCTTCATACTCATTCCCATCCCTCCTTCCTTCCTTTCAAGGATTTGCCCGGCCTTAATCTCTCATTTTAATTATTTAATTCTTGCTTATTCAAACAGGCACAAGTTTTCCAAGTGGGGGCTGTTTATTAGTACAATAGATCGCCCTTTTCTTTTCCTTCTTTTTTTTTTTTAAAAAAAAAGAGAGAAGTGGAGAACCAAAAGCTTTAGTGAAAGTGTTTTCTGGTTTTCTTAACTGCTGGATAAATAAAGTGGATTCTAATCTCCTTGCGTAAGACTTGCAGATGTCAGATTCACTTTGTACTTGGCTCCCCCAAATGTTGCCAAGCCATTTAGTGAGGTTTGAAATTTTCATTTACAAACCTTCCAGAAGTGTATATTTCCCCGATGGTTTACGTAGGGAGCTCTGAAAAAAAGAAAGGCACACGGAAAATGGCAAGAACCAAATGACATTCACAATTTCAGAATTATATTTCATAAAGCACATTTCTATATAATTAACAAATCCTGCAATGCAATGCAGAGGTTTCCCTATGCATAATATAAAGACATTCTTAGACGGCCGCACTGGGGTTGATGTATTCAACCTCTCTGTGCAGTTTGTATATTTTAAATTATTAATAATAGTCTATGTTTTGATAATATTTTAAATATTTTGTAATGATTGTTTTGATATGCTTGTTGTTTTACTCAACTGTTGTTGCCCAGAGTTACTTTTTTGTGAGATGAGCAGCCATCTAAATTCGATAAATAAATGAAATAAAAAGTGCTTCACATCAATATTTAACAGTTTGTTAAATCTAAGTTGGAAGCCAGTTTTGCATGGTTAAAAGCACCATTTAGGCACGAAACCAGGTAGGTGACCTTGGGCCAGTCACCTTCTCTCAGCCCCAGGAAGCAGGCAATGGCATACTATTTCTGAAAAACCTTGCAAAGAAAACTTCAGGGACTTTTTTGACTTGAAGAAACAAAAAAAAAAATCTAAGAATGGTGACCCACAATGACAATCTTAAAAAAACAAAAGCAATCCCTTTTTATGTAAAAGAATAGCTGAGAACAAATTTAAACAATGCAGGTGCCAGCAGTTCTATTTGACGTACTTCTGTCTTTGAAAAGGGCCATTCTAGAATGCATTAGAATTATTCTTGATATTAATCACTTTTTATAGATTCAGTCAACAGACATCCCAGAGTGACAGATAGCAATAAATTAAGATGTACAAATAAGAGCATCTACCAAGAAAATGAAAAGTCAGCTGTAGAATTTTGCCTATGAGACCACTGCTTTTGGAAATCTTGATTTAAACAAATATGTGCATTTTTCAGTTTTCAAACCAATGTTTACAGTGATCATTAAAGGCACACTTCACAGTATTTAAAACAAACAGTTCTAGGCCTCTTTTTCACAAATGAAGAAATATGGTCAACTCCAAACAGAACACTAGTAACTTGCATTTTCCTTTCAGAAAATCCTGTAGAAAACTAGTTATCGCAAAATTAGACTTTATTCCCAGCCTTTGCATATTGGTAGGTGGCCAAAATAAACAACATCCACAAAAATTAACTGCTAAACCAATCAAGGTGGATCCTTCTTCCTTCTTCAAATGATGGCCCTTTTTGCTTTTTAAACAACTCCCTAAATGTATTTAAAGGGGGAAAAAGAGCAATAAGGCTAAAGGATTTAACCCGATGTGCTGATTTACAATATCTACAGGATTTTTTGAGATCTAAGAGCATCCCAGGATTTGGATACCTGCTGCCACGCATGTTATATCCTCAAATTCAATCTCTTGACTTCAGCTCTCCCTGACTTGAGATGCTATAAATCTCTTCGATGATATAAAGGGAACTTTTGACCTTTGAAGGATTATTTCTCCGTGGAGATTCCTTTTCTGGACTTTTTTTCTGAGAGATTTACCAGATATGTGACTGTTTCTCTCAGCTGTCATTCAACAGAAGCCTATGGCAATGAAAACAATACTGCGAAAAATGTCCTGTTTGATGCCAAATGACCTCCAACTGATTTATTTAGCCGAGACTTGCCCTCCTCACCAGAAATACATGAAGGAGGGCAGAAGAAACCATGGTTCTTCTCCAGTCTCCCTTGTGGTTAAGAAAAACAAACCTTGTTTGTCAAAATTATCTTGTAAACATATGTCATATAATTTAGTGGCCAACAAGAAATAATTTTGATAAAATTTTTATAAGGTATGACCTTCTGCCTAAGTGCGGTAAAGATTTATTTTTCTCCATAACCAATCTGCCAGGTAAATGGGGCTGGCAAAGGATGATGGGATGAGGATAGAATGGATCACAAGTCTCCCCACTGTTAATCCAAATACTTTAATCCAGTGTTTTTCAACCTTAGCCACTTGAAGAGGTCTGGACTTCAACTCTCAGAATTCCTGGCTGCTTTAACCACTATTCTTCACTGCAGCATTTCCATCCCTCTCAAGACCCAAAGCAACATGCCTCACTTTCAGAATCAAATAATGTGGTTGAGAGAACACAATCAAGATATACAACTAACTGCTCAAAACAAATTGGGAATTGAGTGGTTGGTAACCTAATCCTGTATTTTTCATAGCCTCTGAGAAGGTTAATTCAGAGAGGGGCAAATAAATGCCCTTGTTGAGATTTAAAATATGGATTTTGGAAAAAAAAAACTCAAAATCAGATCCAGAGTTGGTTTTTTTTGTTGTTGTTCTAAAACAAAGATATTCTCAATGGGTAGGGCAAAGCAGAAAGGAAAACCTTTCAAGTAAGTTAAAAGCCAGACAGTGAAAGCAGATTTTCTTCAAAGTAAATGCAAGCCTCAAAGCAAATTTAACTTATCCATTAGGCTATCAGAGTTACCATTAAGACAAGGACAGAGCATCTATGTTAGCCTTGAAATAATTATATATATTTATCAATATAATCTATACAGGTAGTCGTTGATTTATAACCACAAGACAGCTGTAAAGTGAGTTTTGACCCATTTGTGCTGTCCCGCTCACTCACACAGATGTAACTTTGGTTTAGTGAGTTTATTAATATTCCCCCGCAACTCCTTTCATCAAAAACCCAGAACTGTCCCAATTAAGTCCAGCCAAAAGCAAACCAAGGCTAATCCACAGAGCCATGGCCAATGAATCCACAAGGCACTTGAAAGTTTCCCAATCGAAATAAACCCACCAAGCAAAATTAAATCTACAAGACAAGAAGGTTCATGGGGCATGGTGTCAATCCAAAGGCAATCACAATGACTAGAAAACAAACAGCAAGAAAATTGCCTCCATCTGTCTGCTGTGCTAAATAGCCAACTTCTGGTGCAGCCCATCAGGAAAGCGAGACTTTCTCCTCTTGAGTAATCTGGCTGACCTCCTCTGCTCCTGCCTTTTCTCTGCCCTACGTGTTCTCGGATCAGGTGCAGCAGGTAGTTCTTCTTCCTCATCACTGACCGGTTGCAGCTGCCTGCTTTCCCCACTTGAAGCCTCCGAGCTATCCTGCTGCAGTTGTGCTTCAGCCAAATCCCTCTTAGACTCTTAGATGGCTGCCTAGAGCCATTGACCAACTGCTCTCCTGACAAGCCTGGAACAGGTTCATCCTTCTCGGAGATGACATCTGGAGAGATATCTGGGGAAGCGTTCCGGGGGAGTCATCACACCATTCTACAACATTGCAACTGTCATAAATCTGAAGCAGCTGCCAAGCTTTTGAATTTTGAGCACATGCTGCAACCATTGTAGGTATGAAAAACGGCTGTAAGTCACTTTTTTTCATTGCTGTTGTAACTTCGAACAGTCACTAAACGGATGGGTGTGAGGTGAGGGCTACCTGTGTATCAAAATGTAGTAATCCCTTATTGGAGGTAACATTGTAAAGGGATCTAACTCTGCACTGACAGTCACAGAAAAACATCCATCAATGAGCAAAATTTAAACTAGAACATTTGGATGATATCACTGGTGGTAAAATGGAACTGGATTTATTGAAGTGTCAAGTGCCTTCATAAAATCAACATTATCAATGAGGAATACCCTCTCCAGTATCCAGAAGTTTTTGCTTGTAATTAAGTACCTCAGTTAAATCTCAGCCCAAGCTGTGTCATCCTTGATTAAAGCTTTGGTTCATAAATCCTGCAAGCTTCAGAGAATGCGCACCTTGAAGGCAACTAGAGAGAACATTTTGAAGAGAACAATTCTGGATCAAACTGAAGAACTTCATAGAGTTCAGAAATGGAAAACTGGGAGAGAAATATTTAGGAAAGGAGAGAAGGAACAGCAAAGAAAGTCATGAAAGATGTTTTTGTACATATAGATTTTAAGCCAGAACTATTCTTGTTAGGCATAATTGCATGAAATTATGAGAAATTTTACATTGACAATTGTATTTGTTCAACATTGGAAAAATGAAGATTTACCAACAGAGGAAGAGGTCCAAATTTCCTTTACAAGCATATTAATAAACAGTATCATTTAAATCGTGTTGGCTACATAGTTATGAATGTTAAACAAGTTTTCTTCTGAGTCTCTGCTGAAATTATAGTAGAAGCTATCATGAGATGATTATGAGAAAGATCACATTCATCCAGATACTGGAGAGCCCTCGCTATGAAACTTCTAGACAACTACTATCATTATATTTTAATAGTGGTCTTCATAAAAATTAAATGACCCGGGTTTTTCCCACGTATCCATTCTGAATTTCCATTTACAGTTCAGAATATCTGGTGGGAGATGGAAGTACGGAACACCAGTTTGTGGAACAGATCCCAGTTTTAATGTATCTGCTACCTGGAATTTGCTGATGGAAAGTCTCAGAAAGTCGAAATAAGAGCATAAGGCCAGCCTTAATATAAAGCTAGTCTCATGTGTTCAGAGTCCCAAATAATTATTTGTCTTAACCTCTTGGTCTGCAAATTCACCAAAGCTTATAACCCAAAGCATTTTTCAACCATGGCAACTTTAAGATGGGTGG